ATTAATGTCAGGTGTGGTGGAGCAATAACACAAGAGGTGGAGTAGAGACATGAATGCAAATGGAACACCTGAAACCAACTTCTCCAAGCTCTGCATTCATTGCTGGAAATCTCACTGGCTGGTCACAACAGGAAGGACTGATGTATTGGTGTTGAGCATGTGGTGCTTGGGCCTGCTATGTCCTGTGATATCAATTGTATTGACTGCCAGAATCAAATTTAGACACACCTTGGTCCATAAGCTGAACTTGAGCTCCAGCCCTAAAATCTGACTCTCCCCACTCTCCCAGCCCTCCTCTCTTGGCCTGCTTCCACTGTCAGTGTTCAGAGTGAGTAGATCTGTCTCGAGTTTCTCACATAGGACTTGTTACTTGGCAAGTTCTGTGTGTGTCAGCAAGGTCGTCCTGTGTGCTTTTGAGGGAAGCTTCAAGTGATCTGTAGAGGATCTGTGAAATAAAAAGTTTGAATGAAGCATAATGTAGAGGCCAAAATTAACAGTAAATACTCCCTAAATTGAGTCAACTCTTCCCATTTATTCTTGTCATGAGGAGCACCTTGAGACTCTTGATGTGTTGTATAGTTACCTTATCCACATTTGGATTTGGCAGATACACATGGTCCTTGTCTTTGTCTTTGTGAGGACTTGACCAATCATCATCTGGGTTGAGACCTGTAAATTCAACATACAGTGGCTCAAAAAACTGTCCACATGTTTTGATATTTTTCACTATCTATGATATTGTGTGAGAACAAACAAATGCCTCAAGGACATGGTTATACCACATTGTAGTATGGCTTCAGGGTTTTCATTTGAGCCCTACACCAGGGGAATCAGTGGAGATATGGTGGAGATACAAGGCTCACAAAATGGTGACTCATACAGACAGTTTTTTGACTCAAGTATTTTACAATAATAACCAGGTATTCTAGTATTTTGTATGACCTCCCTTGGCTTTAATTACTGCCTCTATCCTTCTAGGCATACTCTCAATTAATTTCTGGCAATCCTCAGCTGTGATCTTTCCCCATTCCACTGCTACTCTCTCCCAAAGCTCCCATACTCCTTTAGGGGGGTTTTCATAGGCTTGAAGCTTTTTCTTGAGTGTTCCCCAGAGATGTTCAATGACATTGACATCAGGAGACTGTGCTGGCCAGTCAAGAACCTTGATGTTATGTTCTTCAAACCATTCCTTAGCTCTTCTGGATGTGTGCTTGGGATCATTATCCTGTTGGAAAATGATATCTTCTTCATCAATCCCTGATTCTGCCAAGCTAGGCAGCAAGTGGTCATTTAAAATGTCCACATACTGCTCAGCATTCATCTTCCCCTCAACCTCAGCAAGCATTCCCACACCATTCCATCCCATACAGCCCCATACCATTAAAGAACCTCCTCCAAACTTGACAGTCCCATTAACCTCTCTGTCTGTTAGGCCATCTCCCTTCTTTTTCCATACATATACCTTTCCATCTGACCCAATCCTATTGATTTTGGTCTCATTTGACCATATAACATGCTTCCAGTCCTCTACAGTCCAGTGTTGATGAGCTAAGGCAAAGGCTAGTCTTCTCTGCCTATGTTTGATGGAGAGAAGAGGCTTTTTCTTCTTTGTTACTGCCTTGAGATGAGCTGCCTTGAGAACATTCCTCACAGTTTGTGAAGAGACAGGGGTAGTGATGGTGGAATTGATATAATTGGTGGCTTGGACAGCATTATCAGCCTTTCCTGTAGTGATATGTTGGATAATAGCCCTTTTGTCAGTAGAGGTAAGCTTGGATGGACATCCTCCACAAGAGTTTTCCTTGTCTGGGTGGCTTTATTTGATAAACTTGGCCACAGTGGACTTGTATAATCCCAGTTCTAGAGGAAATTTGGTGAGCAGAGAGGCCAGCATAAGACAGAGAGAGGATATTATCTCTTTGAGCAGAGGAGATGGCTTTCATGGTGATTATGACTATGATACATGAGATATTCTGGTTTGTATAGTTAGATATAGTCATAAAATAACATAATGACACCACTTCATAATTTATATAATAGTGGCATGATTTTTGTGGTGTCATAAATAATGATTTATATAGTTTTAATATACACTCAAAAAACTGTCCACATGAGTCATCATTTTATAAGCCTTATGTCTCCACCATATCTCCACCAATTTCCACGGTGTAGGGCTCAAATGAAAGCCCTGAAGCCATACTACAATGTGGTATAACCATGTCCTTGAGCCATTTGTTCATTCTCACACAATATCATAGATAGTGAAAAATGTCAAAACATGTGGACAGTTTTTTAAGCCACTGTACTATCATGGGGTTGACACAATGAGAATGACACACAAGGGAAAGATGCACCTTTAGAATCTCCAGTTCTTGCTTCATGACTCATTGTAGTCTGTGTGTGTTATTAGTTCTGTCATTGGAGCATCTACTTCTGTGGGAGCAGCATTTGCTTTGCAAGCATGTGGAATATCTATTGTTCCTGTCAATCAATCATGTATTGCTGGGCTCAAAACAAAAGCCACTTTCTCTAAAATCCACTCCTCTGATCGTGCTGTGGTGTTTCATGCAACATCAACAGCACCTTCAAGTCTTGTGCACTTGGACTCAAGCTCTGAGAGACAAAATGTTAGAGATCCAACACTGTTTAAATATATGCACATCAGTTGAATTGAGAGCACATAGACAAGCAAAAATACTCAGAAAGAGTGGGCAGAGGAAGAAGCAGAATGAAAGATGAGAAACAGACGTACAACTCACTGCTTTCACTGCCAGTGTGCAATGTCTCAATCTCTCCATGGAGCACTTCCTGTGGGAGAAGTCAATGTCAATTGAATTTCAAAGGGGCAAAACATATGAAGAAGTTGCAGTAACAGGAAGGAAAATAGCAGGGTAAAATGTGCTTATCGCAATGAAGGGAGGTGGTCATATGCCAACCCAATAGAATAGAGTATATGACAGCTGTGTGGTAACTGGGGGTGCATGCATGCAAAATGATGCATAATAAATAGTATAGAAAAACAGCAAATTCATGAACAAGGGATAGAGGCTGACAAAACTTACATGTTGCTGCTTGATGGTTGCAACCCTGCTATTTGTGCATTCCAAGTTGGCCATGATCATGTCAGCTTCAGCAAGATGGGAAATAATCTCATGGTCTGAGTAGAAGTGTCAGTGTGCAAGACAAAAGGTACAACAATGAAGTGAACAGAAGGGAGTGGAGGAAGGAATGCAGCATAGCTCACCCTGATGCTGGCTGTGATCAAAAAGGTTTGCCTGATTTGATTCATTTGATGGTCAGAGGTCACGCACTTAGTCCCTACTAGATAATGTAACCTTGCACTGCAAGTCCCATTCCCTGAACCTCCATTGGCACTGTGCAATTGCAAAACACCAACCTAAACCAACAACACACCACGTAGCACTCTGCATGATTAGGCATATGTTCATCGTACACAGCATTGATCTTGGACCCCTGCACAACAAGCTCATGCATATGCACATCCAGCTGTTTGATGTGGCATTTGAACACATCAAAAGTGCTAGATGACTGTCAAAACCCAGTGTTCTCACCACACAATTGAGTAACTTTGGCCTCCAGTATGTGAGCCTCTGTGGCTTTGACTGTTTGGTCCTGTGCACATGTGAATGTGTGGAGAAGTAAAGTATATGTGTGAGATACACAATAGCAGCTTCAAGCAGGGGATATGGATATGGTACTTTGGCAAGGACCTTGTACATGTTGAGGAACACATTCTCAGAAATGTTTGGCCACTTCATAAGGCTGTCAATTTCTGTCTAGAGTTAGCATCTGATAGCAGGTCACTGAGAAGAGGATATGCAGACTTTGAGCAGGCCTTTGAACAAATTCAGCTTCTCATCATCTGGGATCTTCTTGAACTCTGCAGAATGTTCAGGTCAGCAAGCTGCTTGCAACCCAATACAGACTCCTTCTGGTCATCAATGATCTTGATACCTTGGGTGCCCAGTGTCTTTTGCAGCTCCTGCAGCTAGATGTACTATATGCTTGTTCATGTTAGCTCATTGTGCAAACACAACAATGGCTAGTCACTTGTTAAAGTGCCTAACCAAAAATATTGTTGTAGGTCAATGCTCTGCCTAGCTGCTACACTTGCAAGCAAGAACATTCAACCCTAAAGGAAATTGCTACTGAGAACGGCTGATGATACTAAGGACCCAAAAGTGCGCAGAGCGCAGGGACAGGTGTGTGGGTATGTAGAGTGCAGGAATGCGGAAGTGCATAATGCTAGAGTAAGGGGTAGGGAAGTCTTAAGGAATGGCGTGGGTAACAAGTGAGGGCAAGGGTATTGATTGCACAGGTAAGGAAAGTCAAGACAAGGTGTCCAGGTATAAGGTAACCAATAGGGGCTAAAAAGTGCGTACTAATGGTGACTGCTCCTAAGTAAAACCTATGGGAAGGAAATACTGTAGAAGGGAAGTAAATACGAAGTAGTCACCCTAGGCACTTTATACTAGCTAAACCCTCTCAGAAACAGAAGTGACAGGACAGACAGGCAGTAAGAATATGTAAAGACATGTAATAAGACTGTAACACTTGTTACAACACACGAGGCAAGGCACAATATGTACCAATGAGGTAGGATGGACAATGGACTGATGTGAGACATCTGTAAGGTATTCTGAAGGCATGGGAAATCGACCACAGGTACCTGTGCAGCGCAGGAGTGAATGCGTGGGTCCGCAGAGCGTGGGAATGCACATCCAGGGTGGGTTGAGTGTGTGAAAAGCGGTCAATGCAGAGTGGTCATGTATTGATGCACCTTTCCATCACCTACATCAAAAGATGGCCATTGCAAGCCTAGTGGGAATATAATCGTCACATCGTGTTGCATATATAGTTGGCTTTATGTACCCTTTGTTTGACAATGTCATCATGATGGTTGGTAGGTACATTCAATGCACTCTGTGCAACCCATTCAGGATCTACTCCCCAATTCTTGAAGAACTTGTCTCAGTAGGATTCAAAAGCAGGGAAAACAAGCATTTCATGGACAGCTTTCCAAGTGCTATCAAATGCACCCTCCACCCAAGCATGCTGTACACTGATGGCTTTGTCAGTGAAATGAAGATAACCTCCCACAGCAGGATTATCGAGGCTTGTGTAAATATTTCTGAACTTTCCTGGTCCAAAGAAAGCAAGGGCACCTTGAAAAAAGAATACAAGTGAGATGATCAAATTGAAGACTTGAGGGTGCATGGTGCTGACCCATTGTACAGTGGCTCAAAAAACTGTCCACATGTTTTTGCATTTTTTACTATTTACAATATTGTGTGAGAATACATAAAGACCTCAGTGACATGCTGATACCATATTGTAGTGCTGCTTCAGGGCTTTGGATTGAGCACCACATTGTGAGAATCAGAGGAGATATGGTGGAGATACAAGGCTTACAAAATCATGACTCATGCAGACAGTTTTTTGAGCACATATTAAAACTATATAAATCATCATTTATGACACCATAACAATCATGCCACCATTAAATAAATTATAAAGTGGTGTCATTATGTCATTTTAAAACCATATCTAACTATACAAACCAAAAATTTCCATATGTCATGGTTATATTCACCATGAAAGCCACTCCCCCTGCTCAAAGGGATAATATCCTCTCTCTTTCCTATTCTGGCCTCTCTGCTTGTCAAATTTCCTCTAGAACTGGAGTATCCAAGTCCACTGTGGCCAAGTTCATCAAAGAAAGTCACACAGACAAGGAAAATTTCTGTGAAGGGCGTCCATCCAAGCTCACCTCTACTGATAGGAGGGCTATTATTCAACATATTGCTACAGGACAGGCTGATAATGCTGTCCAGGTCACCTATTACATCAATTCCACCATCACATTCCCTGTCTCTTCACACACTGTGAGAAACATTCTCAAGACAGCTCATCTCAGGTCAGCAACAAGGAAGAAAAGGCTCTCCTCTCTATCACACATATACAGAGAGGACTAGCACCCTTCTTTTTTCACATATATACCTTGCCATCTGACCCAATCCTATTTATTGTGGTCTTATATGATCATATAACATGCTTCCAGTCCATGTAATCCAATTCTGATGGGCTAAGGCAAAGGTTAGTCATCTCTGTATATGTGTGATAGAGAGGAGAGCCTTTTCTTCCTTGTTGCTGACCTGAGATGAGCTGTCTTGAGAATGTTTCTCACAGTGTGTGAAGAGACAGGGAATGTGATGGTGGAATTGATGTAATAGGTGACCTGGACAGCATTATCAGCCTGTCCTGTAGCAATATGTTGAATAATAGCCCTCCTATCAGTAGAGGTGAGCTTGGATGGACGCCCTTCACAGAAATTTTCCTTGTCTGTGTGACTTTCTTTGATGAACTTGGCCACAGTGGACTTGGATACTCCAGTTCTAGAGGAAATTTGACAAGCAGAGAGGCCAGAATAGGAAAGAGAGAGGATATTATCCCTTTGAGCAGGGGGAGTGGCTTTCATGGTGAATATAACCATGACATATGGAAATTTTTGGTTTGTATAGTTAGATATGGTTTTAAAATGACATAATGACACCACTTTATAATTTATTTAATGGTGGCATGATTGTTATGGTGTCATAAATGATGATTTATATAGTTTTAATATGTGCTCAAAAAACTGTCTGCATGAGTCATGATTTTGTAAGCCTTGTATCTCCACCATATCTCCTCTGATTCTCACAATGTGGTGCTCAATCCAAAGCCCTGAAGCAGCACTACAATATGGTATCAGCATGTCACTGAGGTCTTTATGTATTCTCACACAATATTGTAAATAGTAAAAAATGCAAAAACATGTGGACAGTTTTTTGAGCCACTGTATATGAATCATGGGACCAACTCCATCCCTTGCATTTGATCAGCTGGTTACGTAGATAGTTTATATCAGCATTGTGTGAATATGTCAGCTCCTTCATCACAAGCTGTATCAGTGTTACATCATCTTTGCCTATCAATGCACCCAGCCTAGTAGCATCCTCTGTCTAGAAATAGCTGGTGATAAGTGCAGTCATCATCCCAGCCTGGACAAATTCTACAGGAAGGATAAATGACATTGCACAAAGGCCTGTCAGTGCATGTCTGCCCTCCAACTATATTCAGAGGATTTCCATACCTTTCAGGTGGGATTTCCCAAAAATCTATAGGGAATCTTCCAGTAATGTTTCTGGTTTTGCATGACACTAGTGGTAGGAGGTTGTGGCATGAGCAGAGACTTGGCGCACAGAGACCTCCGGAGAGTTTGCCAGGCGCATTCAAATAGATGGTGTGAGCAAGAATAGTATGTACAATGTCAGAGCTATATCAATCAAAATAGACAAATGAAAGAAGCCCAGTAGAACACCAGTACAGTACTGAAAAGAAATTTTCATGATAGACTGGTTACAACCCTAAGACTGACTACAATCAGACTGGAACATCAATGTTAGTTGGCAAGGTGGTGCTGCTCATCATCTTACATGATTTTGAAAGGGCCAGTCAGAAGCTAGACAATAGAATATATAGGCCAATAACTTATGAAGACTATGAGGGGAGCTTCCTTTTCCCCTCTTGTGTTCACAGACTGAATGCCCACATCGTCCAAGCCATTCTTTCTCAGCTCCTCAAGGAACCAGAATGGGGCATCTCTGAACCAATCATTCCGCCACTCACCTATTGTGGATGGTTCATTTTAGACCTGTTGTAACATACATCAGTGGGAGGTGAAATGAATTATGGAAGAAGAACTTACTACCTGTTGGACAGGCCACCCCCCTGGTATCTCCCACTTCAACCAGTCTACAATCCAAGGCTTGGATTCAGATTTCTCCAGGCTTAAATCCACACTTTTAGACAATGACTGCATAGTATTATATTTTCACAATGTTGATGAGGGTGAGAAGATGTGAGAAAGGTGAGAAACCAGAAAGGTCAAAAGGTGCTGTTGCCTCCTTCCTCTTTCAACAGCTATGTTACCAGGATCATTTCTATTAGCTCAGCCTCATACACAGTATGTTCCTCATTGCTCCATGAGACATGGTTGCCACTAACCAACCAATGAGCCTGGTCACTCCTGGTGACATATTGAAAATTCAATTACTCACTCTGACTGTGCTTTGTAGGTGCACAGTCCATATTGTCATATTAATATATCCAATACATTGTAACTACCATGAAAAATAGGATACAATAATACTGTGATTTACCAGTGGCTATGAGCTAGTACCAGAGATGTATCTGGGATCTGCCACTGACAGGCACAACATACATCCTATTGCAGTCAAGCATTCCCACAATATTCCCACACATGGTATTTTCGCATTTCCTGGCCACACAGTGTGGGAATTACCCCACAACAGCAAAAACATCACCCATTTTTGGGAATCACCACAATATCAATTATTCCCACACTCTCCCCACCTCACTGCAGCTTCACCACTACTCCACAATAGGTCCTCCTTCACATACAAGTAGGAGTTTGGTATATATATATATGTATAATATGATATAATAGACTGCTTTTTTTGTTCATTTGTGTGCCTGCTTTTCCTCCAGGGGCCATTCAACATATGGTAGGGTATAGAACACTTTCGCACTTTTACCTCATTGATAGGGAAGTGTTCTAGTATATTGTTAACATGTTTAGGAGCATATATACAGAAAAATACAAAATATGTTCTGATGTGTTTATTCCTAGGTGGATAGGCTTGGAAAAACTATCCCC